AAAAATCGGTTAGTAGTCGATAAAAAAATCGATACATAATCGATAACAAAATCGATAAATATATCGATAAAATACTCGACCCTATTAAGCTAGCATTTCAGGGTATTATTTTATATATATATAAGGAAAATTTGAAAGTTAGGGTGCTCGAGCACCCCCCTTCCCCTACCTGGCTACGCCCATGAGTATAAGTATTTATTGATTTTGAATACGAATTCATAATCAACTTTAATGCCATTTACTTTCTGATCGGAAATTGGAATTTCGTTATACACTTCCTTTTTAGAAAAGTTAAATACCTTGAACTATTGATAACTACATTGGTTATGCGCCATTTAATCGGTCATTCAAGAAAATTAAAACAGCACCTTTTATTTTTGTTTCTTTTTTATTTGGCATTTGCTCGTTTTTATACACGAGCGCTTAATGCAAAACTAAACATAATCTTTGGCATAATTAGCTTTTTGTATATTTGTTGGTATGTACATTCTTAAAAAAGAAAAAGACGAATAAATGTGTATATAAAATGAGTATACTACTACAAATATAACTTTAAAAAAAATCAAAAAATATAAAAAGCTATACAAATGCGTTGTTTTCTACGTTTATAATGCTTGAATTAAATAATTAAAACCTACTTGGATTGAGTAAAATGAGTATGCATTCTGAGCTAAAGGTTTTCACATTTACTTAAGTACACGTTTACATACATATACATATGTATTTATGTACAAAAATTTATGTACAAAAATTTATGTTTACAATTAGCAGATTAAGCAAAATTATACTTTGGTTCCATCGTCATACACACTAACTATTCTAATAATTTTCTTCTTTTTTTTCATCTTCAAATATTGCACTCTACACGGCCTACAAGCTAATAGTTAATTACAAAAATAAGTATTTTACGTTAAGTATTTATAGATGAAACTTAACAAAGTTCAACTTTTAAAATTAAAGACTAGACAATCTCGTCCGTTTTTTTGTGATTGGATATAAATTTACAAATTATGTGCGTATTTTTAAACAGTACAAATTTCTTATATTTCTAAGGCAATTAATTTCAATGAGTGCAAGAACACGTGCTACATCTACATACAATAACATACATACATACATACTACATACATATTTATAAAGGCAAGCTAAGATCACTAATTAAATATTGTATTTGTGCAAAAAGCTGTCTAAAATGTGAAATATGTACATATGTAGGCTTCTGCATACATAATTTTTATACAAATATGTAACTGTATTTATTTGAGCATTATCAAATATTATGGAAAGCAAATAATTCAACGTGTACGTTGCGAAAAATACTGTCTGTTGCTTTTAAACTATTTGAACAAAAATCCATTAAGAATTGCCATATTCAAGAAGCATTGAATCCTAATAGAATTTAGTTCGAAAATATGTATGTACATACAAACGTACCTTTTTTACAATGTTGAATTTTTTTTTTATTCTTATGTTTTTACATACCCTAGTAAAAAGCAAAGAAAAAAGACATATCTTTGGTTTACTTTATTTTTACCAATGTTTCCATAAGTTTAGTGAGAGATTCAATACATGAAAATGAGAGTGAAACTAGCTTATTTCTACGATTGAATTCTCGTTGGCAGAGATTTATTTTTAAAAATAGTGCATTTTTGAGTACACGCACTGTCATAATTATAAGCGCACCACATTTTGACAAGTTTTAACCATTAATTTTTTGATATTTTATTAAATTTATTTTGCTATAAAAAATATAGTTTATTTTTTTACGAAACCCATAAAATTCCAAGTTACAAACTATGTGGAATATGTAAAAAAAAATTAAACAAACTTTTCTCCAAATTTCGAGTGTGTAATTTTCTTATAAAGTTGTTGAGTTGCAGTTTTGTAGTCCATTCAATTTTAAGGCAATAAAGCGCAAGTTTGATATAGCTAGACCTTGCCGTTTTTTATTTTTTTTATTTTTTGCTGAAAGAGTTAGTTGCTCATTCTCATTCCCTTCCATATTAAAAAATCTTCCAACATACTCAAAATCTTTCTAAGAAATGTTATTAAAAAGCCCGAAATTTTTACGAAGGTATGCTGATTATTTTTTTTTTTTAATATTGCACAACTCTTAAAACTTGGATTTATCCTGTTTTTATTAAAGACTTAACTATATTTTTATATAAAAATAGCTAAAATCAAGTAACCAAAAATAAATGGCCAATAAGGTACACTTATAAATATGCCACAGGGTGTATGTCTACATTTTGTTAAATCTCAAATTTTTTTTTTTTTTGTATAAAAATAGCCACTATGTATTACCTTATGACACATTTAGTAATTAACTACATCTAACTTTTTTTCATATTTGTTTATCACAATCAGTTGTCTACTCAACTACCAGCGCAAACTTTGTGGCGCAACTTTTTTTTTAATTATTTTGGTTTTGATAATGATTTAGCGCAATGAAATAAAACACTTCATTAAGTTTAATGAACCTGTTTTGGGCGAAGGCAATTCGGAAGTTTCCCTTAGCCATTGCTTTGGAAAAGGCTGACGATATTGCGCAGTTTAAATTTTTTTCTATTGAGCTTATACAAGTAAAAGATTAAGTACTTTCGTATGGCGATATTCTAGCCTTTCCAGATCATCTATGTATATACATATGTATTTAACATATTTTGCAGAAGTATATATATTTTTTACTAGTCCCAAGCATTGATGTTTTACAAGCATTTGTCGTTTCAAATTGAATAAAATTTCGAATGCCGTGATCACAAAATAAAATTTCGATTCGATTTGAATTCGATATCGAATTCTACAATTTGTGTCCTTGTTCCCAAGAAATATGAAGCGATTGGTTTGCAGTGGGAAACATTCGTAAAGGAATTCAAATTATAGTAAATAGTATATAGTAAGGATATTTGAATATCAATTAGGAGAAAAATCCGAAAAAAATTAGTTTTTTTCAAACCGGTCCCTCTAAAACGTGGCTATAGCATCATTGATATCCTACGAAGTCGTCATTTTTTTGTAGATCCTTGATCACCGTCAGCCATAACTTTGCTAATTTCATTATTTTGGGATAACTCAAGAAAACAATCAGCTACGATTTCAAGGAATGTAACTATGCAAACAGTTTCGTGACAGATTTTCGTCGAACCTCTAGTTCCTACTTGAACACAAAGGCCATGAAGTTGTCTTTCATAACATACCTATGTAACTTACTAAAAAAAGTATAGTTGGTAGAATCGACACTGAGTCACTAAACTGAAATGAATGTATTCGGTACTTTGAGGATATCAAACAAATCGCATAAACTGATAATTTATACGAAATAAGATTAGACAATTTCGCATTTTTCTAGGGTCCTTCGGGAGGTGTCTTTCATACAACGAATTACGCTAGTTTGGCACAGATCACTATAGGAGAGGACAGGATAAGTCTTTATAAACGGGTCAAATTTATCATTTTCGTTTTAAACATTTTAAGCATTTATTTAAGTAGTGCCTATCATTCGCGTCTTTTCCAAGTACATGTATGTATGTACCTTTCTTAAGTGAGTCACAATTTACAGCACCACATCTTTTCAGGCTTTCAAATATACCAACAGTCTAAATTTTTCAAAATTTTTCATTGTCTTTTTGAACTATCCAACGTGTGGCCAAAGCTTTAGGCCAAAATCGCATAATTACTGGTCAACTCAAAGGGGCTCGTCTTTGTCGAATGTGTAAAATTATTTTTTGGCGAAAAGTCCACCGGTTGATCTTGAATCTCATTTCGTATGCTGCACAGCTGTAACGGCATATGCGCCACTGTATCCACGAATCCTTGCGAGCCAACGTGGTGCTCACGATAAAGTAGATCACTCGGCGTCGTCGCCGTTTGTATGACGCTGATGCGCTTGAAACGTTCATACTCCTCCTGAGACATGGGACTTGTAAGCATGGTGTAGGATTTCTCTTGCGCCATATATGGTTTGGTTATGCCATCGTTGTCTGACAACGGCGAAACGGTTTGGACCTCTAAGGGACTTTGCGTTGATTCCGGTGTATATTCAGTATGACCATACGTAGATTGACGACGATCTTTCTCCTTCTGCAAAAGTTTGTTCGCCAATGTGGACTTGGCCGAGTCCGTAGCCGATTGATTGTTCACAGACTGTTTAGCATTGGATGCGATTGTGGAATTAGTAGAATTTCGATTTGAACGCGACTCACTGCGTTCACCGACACGGTGGTGGTTCTTCATGCACGAAGACTCTTCATGCTTGTACAGATAGGATTTGAGAGCAAAAGCTTTGCCGCAACGGCCGCAGGTGTGGGGCTTGGTGTTCGAATGGGTTTGTATGTGTGCGCGTAGATTGGATTTATCCGCAAAGGCTTTGTTGCAAACGCTGCACTTGAAGGGTTTCTCACCTGGGTGAATAAAAGTGAAGCAAGAAAAACGGTCAGTTTGAAAGCTGCGACCAGTATTTCGTTTTTTTTTTGTTTTTTATTTATTTTTTTCTTAGCTTACCTGTGTGCGTGCGTATGTGTCCCTGCAGTAGCCATGGCCGAGAGAAGCATTTGCCGCAGTATTGACACTCACAGCCCTGATTGTGGGTGCGCACATGCATGCTGAAGGCGGGCATCGAGACGTAGACTTTCTCACAGTATGGACATCGTCGCGCTTTCTTATCCATTATTGACCTATTTCGGGGAGGGGAGTTATTGGTGAATTGGTGAACGTACTCAAACTAAGCAAAATTCACTTCGTTACCTGTGGGTTTGCCGATGTCTCGCCAAATTTGACGATGTCGAATACTTCTTGCCGCATTCCGGACAGACGTGCTCATCTTCCAGCAAATTACCGCCGTTAGCGCTACCCTCAGTGCCATTGCTCAGCTTGCTCATCTCCGAGTTGCTGGAATGGCTCGAGATGCCAGTAAATTGATCCTCACTGCTGCAGCTGGGTAAACTGCTGCATGAATGCTCATCGTAACGGGAGTGGTCCGAGATTGTGGAACGTCGCAATTTTTTGCGATCAAACACTTTGTGACTGTAGTAGTTGGAGTCATCATCGGAGGATGAGTAGAATGTTGTACGCGCTACCGCTACCGCTGTGGTGGAATTGTGGTTGTGGTGTTCTGTTTGGATGTTCTGATAATCCCGTGTCCCATAGAGTGCCGTGCTGCTGCTGTTTATCTGGTTGTTGTGCCACATTTCAGTTGAAAAGTCATTGTTTAAAGGCGCTTTGTGAGATATAGGTACAAAGCTTTGTTGTTCTGTCATGAGAACATCTGGTGCAGTGGCAGGAGCTGGACTCTCATCGGTGAGATACTCCAATTCTTTGTGCCGCTTGATGTAGTCTTTAATTTCTGTTATGTTGGTTGTGCTGAGGCGGCCGGCAGCCAATGTAACCTCAGCCAGTTGTGTAAGGTTATACAACTCTTCGGGGATTGCGGTCGGCTGTTCCTTCGTCATTTTGGCTTATCTGGGGTTTTGTTAGTGCTTAGCTGTTAACGAAAAGAATAAAAGTAATTTTTATTACATCGTTTGTCATGTGTAATAAGTTGAAGAAAGACATAAAAAGAGGGCATGCTTTACGACTATCCACTGCCAGTTGGTGATCAGGCGGGAATGAATGCAAGGAGCGACTTCATTGGAGTCACTACTAGAGACGGAAAGGCCGATGCGCCTCTTAACGAATTTTGTCTTATAGGAACAGAAGCTGCTAGATTTGGTGCACACAATGCTCGTCTCGCGATTCTCGACTGTAACGATTCGAGCCCTGATATCAGTAGAGATTAGAAAACTCTCAATATTTTTCTACTTAACTACCAAGAGGTAGCACAAAGGACCTTGGGTTTAAGTGGGTGGCATCAGGGATTGCCGCCGCACCTATCCTAACTCATAGATCGAACAGCCTTGCTACAGAAACATTTATCAGAAATGCCAAAAATTCCCCTGGAGCAGTATTCGGCTGATGCCTGCCTTTATAGTTCTAACTTTTAAGGCTGAGATCATTAAGAGCAAAAAGGGAGGGACAGAAAAACTTTAGTGCGAACATCTTGATCTGCTGGCGGGTAGAGTAGATCGCGAAAATTTTATCAGAAAATAAGAAATAATGCTAAAGCTGTTTTTTAGTTCCGATTCCATCCGTGATTCGAACAAGAAATTCCTCATTTAATGCATAATAATCTACGGTTTGCCTAAGAAAATCTATAAAATTTTAAACAAATTTGAATTTGAGGCTGCTATAAAAAATTAATGGGTCTTGGCAAAGCGTAATTTCATATACATATTTACGAAACGATCTTGGGAGATCGATTTTTTTTATTTCAGTTTTTTCATACTTTGAAAAACTGAAGACATTCTTAAGCAGGCCTGCCAATTAGGCTCGAACCGTATAATTTGTTGCCCAATTTTTTTTACTTCAATTGGCAACTCATTTTTCAATTTGGCCCAAGGACAATGGTTGATCTGGAAAAAAAGTGGAAGGTCAAATGAATAATAAGTGATAAAACGTGACAAAATTTCACGTGACTTGCAACTTGCAACATTTCTAATAAATCGTGAAACTTTTTCATTTCAGTTAAAGTTAATAATTTTTGTGAAAGAAATTTTAAGTGTTCCATGATTGTACTTTAAAACCACGCTGTATGTGTTTTCAAATTTCCAAAGTGCTAAAGTATTTTCATTTCCAATAAGTACTGCGACATATGTATATCCGTATGCATAAATACATACAGACATATGTACATTGCATATTTTTTATTAGATCTACATAGCTTATCTTAAATGGATTTGCCTATTTATTTATTGTCTGCGGAAGTGCTTATGGGCGAACACATCAATTTAATCTTGGAACTATTCATTTGCCTTAAATATTTCTATCACCAACGATTGCACATTATTTTCAAGGAAAACATGCACGCCACATGGGGCACTCAATGTTGGCGCACAAAATTATAGCCAAGCCAACAAGCAAAGCGCAAAGAATTTCACAACGTAACCAACTCGTTGATCCCGAACCACTTGCAGCGATGGACCGCCCTAAAGTCGGTCGGCGAGATTTTCTATGACCAAATAAACATCGCACAGCTGAAAACCCCGACCACAGTCACACCATCGACCGACCAGCTGAGTGCAAAAGCGGCCGCTGACCATTAGTGATCACCACTTGCCACTTTGCCACTTGTCTAATGCCACACGACCGATTCACACTGCTCTCGGTACTCGCATTTTCCAAACCTCCCAACGGCCAAATTGCTATACAATTTATAGTATACGTACATACATACATACAAACTTTTTTTTGTGCGCAATCAGATTTTTCAAATCGTAAACCTACATACATACATATATATACACATAGATACATACATACATGTATGCAGTGCATGACGCGGTCAGCCAGCAAGCCAAGAAGCCACTAGGCAGTCAGTTCAGCTGTTCGATGTTCGATGCTTAACTTGTTGCTTTTCGAGGGAAAGGTGAAACAACCTGCTAAATACGAAATGTGCGTCATTTTCCTTTTAGACGCTCATAATTTAATGAGTTGAAATGAGGCCAAATCGGCGAGCACCAACTAAGAAAATTCGTGTCCGCGTGCGACAATATGGCAAAATATAGAGGAGAAACATATGAGGTGGGAAGGCGGCTAACCTTTTTGTTGAGTTTTGCGAAAAAAAACAAAACAAGATCCCACTGTGCGCCTAAACACACACATATCTATATATAGTACTATGTACATTAGTGTGCCTCACCAAAAAAGTCGCGAGTTTTTCCACCGGAATCGAAAAATGTAGGTATTATTTTGTTTAAAGGCTTCCGCTAAAATATTAGGGAAAAATATTAAGATTTACGTGAGCTGGGCTGATTTGAGAAGACCTCAAAAAATCAAGTTTATTATAAATGAAATTAGTTTCTAAAAATATTTTTTTTTTTTTCAAAAAATCACCGCGGCGCGGAATCAAAATAATGCAATTTTTTAAGAAGTTTTAAAATATAATAAATTGCATAATTCCTCTGGAAAAATAGTACCAATTATTTATTTTTGGGTTCCGATCGGTTCGTATTTATGTTTTTTAAATTTTAATATTTTAATAGGCTTGTCCGATCTTGCATCCTTTAGTGCAAATAAAACTACTATTGTTGCCCAACGTCGTACCAATTATTTTTTTTGTGTTGAGAGTGATGCACCCTAATGTACATACATACATCCCTACATACATACAATTGTATAAACTTAAGTACTCTTTATATTCAACATTCTCGCTTAAGCCGTTTTGATGCTAATAAAGAAATAACAATTAAATATAAAGATTTGTGGTCAATTAGTTGGTGATAGCAACTAATGTTTTTTCGTGGAAATTTTACTTCCGCCAACGTTGGTTGAGTTTGCATAAATTTTATTTAAAATATTTTGGTAATAAAAATTAAATGCGCTATTTTTAACCAAGTGGTACCATATGTGTGAATTGACTATAAAAAAAAAGGATCGAGGTTAAGGGCCAATGAAATCTCATCAAGAAGTTAGACGCAAGTTGTTTAAAGTCTAAGCTCGTTTTTTTAGGTGCTTCTAAGACCTCTTGCGGTTGTCAATTGTTACCATTGCCGAGCTTTATACTGAAGTAGGGTTATCAAGCACACCCCGACAATTTTCCAGGCATTTCATCAAAGACGCAAAGGCCTTAATTGCCACATTCTTGACTGCAATTGGATCGTTGGAGCTCCATCATATCCTTGGCCATATACATAGGTACAAAACAAACTATATCTAGTTCCGAAATATACTTTTTAATAGCTCTTGATAACTATCTCAAAACCAGATGGGTGATAAAATAAAAATTCGCAAACCCTCTCATAGTAAAATGCTAAATCCGCCACTGGACATAGTCATTCATTACTTTCATATTTTTTAATATTATCACTGCGAGCTGATCGTTATACGTTTTTTTTCGTATTCCAATAATCAGAAATTAGTTAATCCTTAAATTATTTGGTTGAATAACGAGGCAAAGTGGATTTTTCGAATCCTTGAACATTTTGAAGATATATGTATGTATGTATATACATGCGAATCTACAGCTCAAGCTTGTACACCCCTGGTATATCATATACGTTTGTATGTATGTACGTTATTGTATGAATATTTTATAATTCGCACAGAAAGACTTTATTTTGAATTTCTATTCCGCATTTGCTGCTGATAATGTTCCCATACAATTTGAATAAATATGTTTGTATGTATGTATAAATTCTCGCATATATTTATTATATAAATATTTTTGCGCAGCTTTCCATACCTGCCCGATCGACTTGGCTACAAAATTTGGAAAATATTATGTGTATGTATGTCTGTATTTTCCTAATTCTTATTTTAAGTTTATTATTATTTTTGTTTGTATTTCTTTTTTTCTTCTTTTTTGCTTAAGACGCAAACTGGGAAACGCACGCGGTACATCTGCTGTCACATTTTTGCTAGATCCCCCGCCCCCCCCTCTCACACACGCGCATATTTCTACCGCCTCGACTGGTGGCAACAGCTGACATCTGGGAAATTTCTAAGATGCGATCAAACATCCATACACAGTGCCGGCCACTTAAATAGCGCTCTCGTTTGATCCGTAGCCAATTTTTTTGAATAGGCCTTTTTTAATCTTTTTTTTCTTTTCACATAGTTCATGTACGAGTATATACCAGAATCTAAAAACTCTAAATATTTATTTTATTGAACATTTAACTAGAGAATTTTTTTTTTTAATTTTATGTATATCTGCATACTAGTAAATTTTCCATTGCAAAAAATTACTTGAACATTTTAAGGAAAACCTAACGAAAGTCTGTCACGTTTTTTTCGTTTTAGCAGCTTACTAAACTTTGCCTTAATCAGTGAATCGTGTTGTCTTCGTTCTCATCTAACGACAGGGTCAGGCAAAGGCCACATCCAACGGGTAGGGATGTTCTGCACAGTTTAACCTGCTATAATACCCAGAACGGAGTTATGTCAAAGTGTCGCGAGCCCCACGAGCAGCTCGAGCTCTTCGTCTGCGATAGGTGGCATTTACTCGAAATTTTGAGGGTGAACGAGTCAAACGGACCTCAGATTCGGATTCAGCGGATCGAAATACATGTCGGTAGGTGGATCTGGTTAAAAGTACACACCACTTAGTATTGACGTTACATACATGGAAGTAAATGCGAAACACCCTCGGCCAAGAAAGATCAAAAATCAACGGTAGTTTTTAAACCCTGGAAATTTACACTTTATTGAGTTAAAATTTAATAGGCTATAAAACTGCATACCCAAAAACATTATAAAAAATTATTTTTAAAAGTTTTTAAAAGTTTTTTTTTTGTATAAAGTTGAAAATCGGATTTAAAGGTTTTTATTATAGAATATTTGTGGTATATTTTTTATGAAAAATTAATGAATGGTAAATAAATAAAAGTGGCACACTATTCAAGAGGGCGGCACTGTATCTATGTACATTTATACGTCTATATATTAGGGTGGTCAAAAAATTCATGTGGGGAAAAGT